GAGGAGCTGAAGCGACGGAATCCCTTTCCAGACTACGTCCCCATGTTTGCCTTTCCAAACGATGTTAGTGTTGTTTCTTCAGACGAGCGACCCAAGTCTCTATGGCATGGATTCGCAATGACCAACGGGGATGGCTCTAAGCTTTACGGCATCTGCCTGATCGTCTGGCTGCCACTGAACGCTACGGCTGCGGAAGGACTCGAGCGCCAATGTGAGGAGTGGCGGAGAGTGCATATGAACCCTGAAGAGCGAGAATTAGCGAGCAGTCTAGGAGAGCGTCTAGCACTCGAGCGAGCGAAGCTGTCTCAACTCTTGACCAGGCTCTCTGGTGTTGCCCCTGAATCCGAGGAGCGCGAGAATCTGGAAGACGACATCGGAGCCGTGGAAGAGAAGATTCAGCTCATGACCGATCTCTTACGCCCAGTAAGGCACGGTGCGGCTTCTAAGATCGAGGGGCTTACAGACGGCGAGACTGGCCTCTGGATTCCACGTGCCTATGGTGTAATGGGACGTGACGCGAGCTTGACGCCTTTCTGGAAGGAATGGCTCAAGGCTGTCGCTGTACCTATGACGAATGGCGCCATTGTAGGTGTTCCTGCGAGCTCACCTCGAGTAGGCATGTGGCAGCCTATAGAACGATATGTCGTCAACCTGTGCGCGGAGGCTCTTAGTCCGATAACCTCCATCACCCAGGTCGAAGTGGCAGTTCGTGAGCTCCGGATGTACGCCAGGAAAGAAGCTGTCAACGAGATTCCGGGGTCTCGTAACATCGACATCTACGCGCTTTTCCGATGTCTCTCGATACCGAACATTGTCACCTTGTTCGAATACGTTCTCTCCGAAGCGAGAATCATCCTTCTTTCCTCTCACACGGCGATGCTTCACCTCGCGAGCATGGCGATCACGAACTTGCTTTACCCGTTTCAATGGGCTGGTGTGTTCATACCCGTCCTGCCTGCGCGCCTTGTGCAAACAATCGAAGCACCGTGCCCCTATATCGTGGGAATTGAACGTCGGTACGAGCCTGTCGACTACCCAGAAGATGAATACGTGCTCGTCGACTTGGACAACGACTCCATCGTCTCTAACGGTCCCCCGCCTCCTTCACTACCTCGTCAGCAGCGACGTAAGCTCACCGCCCTGCTTCAACACTCTGCTCCACACCATACACAGTACGGTGTTCCGACCGGACCTCCCGCCTACGCGGTGGAAGCTTTCCCTAATAGCGCGTTTGCTTCTGAGAACTCTGGTGTGTTTTCACACCGCGCACATCCTTCCACTGTCCAAACCTACGTGGGCTTGAACTCCACATCGTTCGGCACCATCACCGGACCATCGACTTCACGGCCCTTGATCTATAACGCATTCTTACAGTCGAGTGCCTCAAGCCGTGGAAATGATAGGCCATCTACAGCATCTACCGTGAAGACGTTCTCTAACTCACCGCCTTCCCCGAAGATATCGCCAGTCTCGACGGTATTTCCACCAATGCCTAGTACTCCAATATCCCGGAGCGATTCGGGATATGCGCTTCAAGCTAACCTTCGTGAAAAGCGATCAGGTCATTTCGAAACATCAAGCAGGCGAAGCTCATCGGTAAGTTTGGGTTTCTGTCCCTATTCAGATTGGTTCAGTGGCTAATTGGTTTAGTTCGGATTCGAACGCATCCCGCCAATGCGACGTCCCTCTCAACCATTCCTCGGCCATGCACCGAGTGGGTCGACCTCGTCCCTGAGTCACGAATTACGCGCGGGATCTTCTTACGCACCATCAGTGTATGCCCAGTCGACTTTAGCAGCTTCAACCATTATGCCTGGTATGGCGATTCAGCAAGTGCGCAACACAGCCACCACACAGTGGCAGGAAGGTCACTGTATGCAATTTAGGCCACACGAAGAGAAGGCTGTCTGCTCCATCTGCGAGGAGAAGTCCGATGATGGACTCTACCGTTGTACCGGTAAGTCGTAGATTCACCTGGCGTGAATTCTATTCTAACACTGCATAGGATGTTGTACGTTCGCTCACGGTAGATGTGTGAGCAACATCTCCATGGTCTGTCCCACAGCTTTCCGACCGGATCAAGTGCGTGCATCGTTTGTGCGGTGCTTCGCCAGCTTGCTGTATACTTATAGGCGGTATCTCGTCCCTGCTACCGGCGAGCGCAAGAAAGCTGGTATGGTCTACCAATTTAAGATGGACGAATTCGTGAAGAGCTTGCCCAGCGAAAATGTGCAGTACATTACATCACTGCAGCAGACGCAAGGTCAGTCCACCCTTCTTTATGATTGTTTCTGGTATGCTGACAATTGATAAGCTTTCAACGAGTTCATTCACGAGCGTGAGAGCAAGCGTTCGGATGATCCTTCTGTCAAGCTTTTCGATGAAGTCATTCTGGCGAAGCGAAATCGCGGGAAGTCGTCTTTCTTCTACAAATCGAGGGTCGACTTCTTGTCAGATACGACAGATCATCTGTGGCGCACTGCATCTGCTAATCCACCGAATTCTCGCTTCCCGGGTGATTACCGCGCTGTCATCAGCCGAAGTAAGTCCTCTTGTCGCTTTCACCGTGACTCTGACTGACTTTGCTCTAGTTCCTGCGAAGCTCGATCCCACTCTTATGAAGGAGCCTCGCGTCATTCAAGGCGTACCACGCATTCCCATGGGGAAGGCCCGCCGTAAACCCATCCCTTCGATGTTAGGACCGGGCGGCCCTTCAAATCCGCCACAGATACGGACATCATGATCATCTCCTACGCCTCTCACGACGACCCGCTCTCCCACGCCTCCTCTCGTTTCTGTCTTCCTTCTCGACTTGTCTTATTATGCATGTATCATATTAGCGACGGCGTTTTTCGGCGTTTTCATGTCATTTACAAAGGTCCTGCTCAGGGAATCGTTCATGGGGTGGACTGAGTGGCCTCAGATTGCATTTCTGGATAAATCAATCTGTCTGTCATTTTGCATAACATGGTGTGGGTTCTGAGCGTTTTCTAGTCAACCTGGATTCTGGCTCGGACGACTTCATCAATGGTATGCTTTTTAGCGCATACTGTGATGAAGGAAAAAGGGGTTAGGCAGCGAGTATGCTTTATAATGCGTTTTTTTACATCACTCGTTTCTGCAGACACCACATCAGCGAGCTGAAGGTTGCCTCGCTTTGTAGATTATTCAAAATTTGGATTCGGAAATGACCAATTTCACGTGACTACAAAGCTACGTCTTGCATACAAAGTCGTCTTCGAAGTTCCATGCCCAAACTGACGCCGATGATCAAGTACCTCTATCATCGAATGAACCCCCCATAGCACAAGACATCGTTATATGCAGGAACCATCCAATCATATTGGTGTTTCGCGCCCGTTCCTGACTAAGAGCTAGCGTGACAAATCGGGAAACGCTTGAACCTTTTGTGGGGCGGATCCTTGGCGAACGTTCTGCAGCCCCTTGGGTCGTCTCTTTCGATCTCACCACCAACATTCGCTACCACCATAGGACGACTCCTTCATTCTTTCACTTTAACCTTTCATCGTCGCTCTTTCGACTTACTCCACGTTCATTAATCCCACTGCTCTCTTTCCCCAACGGTCTCTTCCAGTCCCTCCGACACCACCCGAATCTTCCGTTGAAAGAATCGAAACAGCAGAAACACTTGACCAACCGTCTCGTCTCGTCTCGCCTCACATCACACGATACTCAATCCGTTCAACAACAACACTTTTTAGTCACCACTAAATACCGCAAATATGCTCGCCAAGACCATCTTCGCTGCGACTTTCCTCGCCCTCGCCCAGTTCGCTGTTGCGACTCCTCCGGGCTGCCTCCTCGGTGCCGTCAACCAGTACGACGACCCATCCGATGTCGCGTCCATCTGCAAGGAGAAGGATTTGAGCAGCACGGTTGCCTCATACTGCGGCGATGACGCTAAGACCGCGCTCGCGGCGCTGGCTGATATCTGCAATGACCAGGGCGTGAAAGTCGGTACGTGCATGACACCCCTGAGATATCCTCGTTCCTGAGGTCGATAGACCTTTTGATAGTCGAAAGATCGATGCTTTTCGCGGTTAGAGACGTGTGTTGACTTTATTCCTCCTAGCTACTGACGTCCCTACCTCCACCTCCGTCTCCAGCAAGCCCTCGGGCACCGGCAGCTACACCATCTATCCCACCGGCTCTGGCAGTGCAAGCGGTAACTCGACTGCCCCTACTGCAACCGGTGGACCCAAGGCCTCTGGAACGTCTACCGGTGGCCTCGCTGAGTCTACGGGTGCCGCTGGCAGGATCGAGATTGGCGTCGCGGCGGTTGTCGCTGGCTTGATGGCTATTGCGTTGTAAAGAAAAGGGACATTTGACGGAAGGATGTGTTTGCTGGTAGGAGTTGAGAAGAGAAGAAGCGGGGATGTTGCAGAAGATAGAGAAGAGGGATGGACTGCATATATTGGGGAGTGATTTGCACAAATCAAATTTACACGCGGATCTGCTTCTTGTAGGATATTCTCTGGTTAATACGGAACTGTACATATCTTGCATTGGGATCATCACGGTTTCGGTTTCGATATTCAAAATTGTACTTGCCATAGTACCAATTGCCTTCCCAGTCCTTGCGTTCGTTCCGGAAAAAACTAACACGGCTCTGCTCCCGACCTCATGGCTACAGTAGTAAATCAAATCATCTATCTTTACCCACATGCAGACACTCTACCAGGGTCATACACACATATAGTTAGGTAAGCAGGCATAGCTGCTGCCGTGACACAGCATCCCTTCTTCCGTCTATGTACGAAGTCAAACTTCTGCAGCTAAACTAGACTCTGACTTCTCCCCACATGTCCCCACCGTTCTAAGCCAAACTCTGTCCCATCGTTCTAAGCCAAATGCTTTGCTTGCCCCTCTTAAATCTTTTCTAATCACGTTACTCCTTTCAGGAAACCTACCTCTATTATTTGCCGTGTATATATACTCAAACTTTGAAAAAGCTTACTAATCGTATTCCTCAGGGGCAAGATGGCCGAGCGGTCTAAGGCGCTAGCTTCAGGTGCTAGTAGTGAAAACTGCGTGGGTTCGAGTGAGTAGTCCCCCAAACATCAGTTATTGGGACGTTATACTAATAGGCGTGTTTGTAGATCCCACTCTTGTCAACATCTTTTTTTTGGTTCTTATTGAACAGTGTGGTTGTTGGGAAAGTATGACGCGGGGGTTTAGGAAATGATGGGTTTCGTCCAGATGATTCGATTTGTTAGCATTGCTGATCCTGAGCGTTGAGAGAGATAGATATGATCTTGCCGCTCAGTTCATACAATCTAGAATCAAAGAGAGAATCACGGAGAGTTTTTTTTTCTGGCCTGGTCAATGATCTCATTGGCCTAGCTCGGATCGGACAATGGTGTGGTGTCTTTGCCTTGTAGTAGTTGCGTCTGAAATTTGAGAAGCATGACGTAGGATCTTGTGCCTTTCAAGTTCCATCTCCTAGGATGGAACCACAGGATGGATAGAAGGAAGAGGATATGCAAAGCATTCGATTGCGCGAAAGTCTGATTGATGTAGGTTGCATAGTAAAGGAGACTTTAGAACCCTTCAAGAACCGTCGGATTTTGAACTCAACTTCGCATTGATCGTTTCTATCTCCATCGCTCATGCATGTCCGTACATTTATTCAATCAAAGCGAATCGACCCATGGCGTTGCAACATATTGTTTTAAAATGACACCCAGAGTGACACCCAGAGCCTTGACTGGTTCACTGGCAGACAGCAAAAATCACTACTCTTAAGACCAGACATGTAACACAATCAACCACAACTCAAACAAACAACACTGTCTACGACATTCCCCCGCCCCTTTCTCATTGACCCACACCCTTCCCTCCTCTTCTCCCCTCTTCCACACAGTGGTCACCATCACGTTTATTTGCCACGCCCGCACCGCAAACTCCTCCCTTCTCCACACAAACCCCCTTGAATATAAAGGCCTATTTCTCTCCAACTGCAGCAGATTCGTTTCTCCCACCCATGGATCCGAACATGAAAATAAGACGAAAGGACTCGTATGGAAGGTGTGGAACAGAAATTCAAGGACCCGTCGCCGGGATACCCGAACCACCTGCCGAAGCCGCCGAGAGGGAGGCCAGCTACACAAGCAGCGTGTTGAGCGATGCGGATGAGGACATGATGATGGTGGATGAGATTGAACTTAATGATGAGGATGCGAGGAGGCAGGAGGAGGAGGGGTACGAGAATATGGATGAAGAGGATGAAGAGGACGAGGACGAGGACGAGACATATATCGAACATTATGGCATTGAAGACCATCCCTACGATACCAACTTCCACCGCAAGCTGCCTCGCACTCGCACTCGCACTGTCGAAGCCGAACTCGACCTCACCCGCTCGCAGAGCAAGCAGCTCCGCACCTGCATCAACGAGGAGATGAAGAAGGCTGGTATCCTGGGGAGAATGTCCTCCTCCCCCTTCTCCTCCTCCAAGGCTGAAGCCCGGCGGCAGCAGCACGATGCGACTCTGCGGCAGATTATTCAAACAGCGAAGCATAAACTGGTGTTTTTGAGGCACACGGTCGTGGAAGAAAAGAGGTTGGATCAATGGTTGCTCGCGAGGATGGTGATATACAGTAGGAAAAAGAAGCACGATGAGTTCATGACTGGGACTGAGGAAGAGGTGCCGAGTCCTTCTCCGTCGCCGCCTCCGTCTCCAACGCCTCCTGAACGACCGGCTCCGCAGTCGTCGTCTTCTGTTGCTTATGCGGGACATGATCATGATCTGAGGTCGGTGGAAGCAGATTTGGCGGAAGGGGCTTTCCGAGGGCTTAGGCGTGGGCGAAGGCGTGAGCGAAGGCGTGAGCGAAGGCGTGGGCGTGAACGCGCTCATCAATCTTCTTCGGCGCTGGCGGCTTCATTTGACAACCTGCATATCGAACAGCCCTTGGACGCCGCACTGCAGAACCTCAATTTGATGTCGCATGAAAGCCCTGGCACAGCCAGCGCTGACCCTCCCCCTCCACCAGCATCCAACGCCGCCATGTTCGACGAAACCGCCTTCCTAATCCGCGTGGTAAATAGCACCACCATGCCAGGCATCAAAGTCCAGATCTATGAACTCATTTCCTCATCATCCCGCCGCGACTCTCATCCTCCTCTTCCAGAGGCCATCGAGGACTTGAGTCTCGAGAATTTCACTGAGCTGTTAAGTGCTCAGGTAGGTTTCGATGTCCGTGGACGGATTAGTATTGTTTTGCCGCGAGGGGGTTTGCTGATGCCGGCGGAGCGGAGACTGAGGCTAACGACGGAGGATCAATGGAGGACTGTGTTGTGGACTGTGTATATTGAGAGGGAGAGGACGGTTGAGCTTGTTGTTGAGAGGGATGGATGAGTGAGGTGGGGGATGTTTGGTGGCTGTGAGTCAGGAGGTGGTTTTGGTGTTCGAATGGAGTGTGGTAGATGTAGCATCTCGTTGTCGGTCTTCTATGTTTCGTAATCCGATCCTGTCTATGATGCTTGGTGTGTACGAATTCCAGGTCAATACTGACGAAAGGATGGCCATGTTCGAGGCCAACTGTGATGGTATATGCATAGGATGATCTTTGTACATTAATCTACACTCTTCGTCCCTTAGTTGCTGGCACAGGGGGCATCTGGAGCGGCCTCTTGCAGGCCATAAATCCTCGTGGAGCTGGGTACTTCCAATCGAGCCATGCGTTCCATAGCATAACTGAAGACGTACTGCCGGCCCAGTAGAGAAGTAATGCAGCCGGAAGTTGCTGGCACATAGGTCCTATAAGCAGGGAGACAAGAAGCAAAGACCTGCGTACGTAAGTCGGCCAACGGCCGTCGCTGTTGACCGTGTTCTTGGTCATATAGATGTTGGTAAACATGAGGCCTGAGACAAGAAACGGTAATGCGCCGATGGGATCTGGGAGGAGCAAGTCCTGGAACCACAGCATGCCCTCGTTTGCAAGCGAGGGCTCAAACCAGCGGCTGCTAGTAACGACCGCTTCACCCGCGCCGGCAGCAGCATCCTCAGACCTGAAAGCTGAGAAGCCCAATCCTAACAGACCATCGCGCGCACCACACTTCTGCCGTATCGTCTCGGCCATGGCGAAGAAGATGGGTATCTGCGCAAACGTCCAACCAATTTGGCCCCGCAGCGAGACATTCCATCGCTTATCTAGTTGATTCGTCATCTGTTTGATCTCCTGGCTCACCGCCCGAACAGCTTCCTTGGGGTGTGAAAAGTCGCCTCTCCTCATGACCTCGTCGCGTTTCTGGAAGGCGAGTGCTTGTCGCAACGGATGCAGACCAATGTAGCGAGCGGTGAGCGCCCGCGACCAGGATCCAGCGGTCGTGACGAGTATGGCGCGGGTCATGAATGCGGTGAGGGGAATGGCGGCATACCACGGGACGGTGCTATGTATGAAGGACATCATCTCGTGCGGGAGGAAGAGGAGGGCGTCGAGGAGGGGATCTTGTCGCGCGGCAGAGGCATGGAAGCTGCGTATCGATGGGCGACATATTGATGCTTGGGATGTGACAGCGCTTCGAGCAACTAATTGGCATGCTGGCTGCCGCAGTAGCCGTGTAGACAGCATGTTGTGATGGTTTTTAAGGTTGACTTGATCAGCTCATCGGACTTCCGAGCGCATGGGAGCTATAATAAAAAGGTACGCTCAGGCCAGGGTCCCACGTTCTCGGGCCGGCGCCAGGCACCGTCATCCCACCAGGACGGCCAGCTGTCAAGCTTCACCGAACAGTCACTCACTTGCACTCGTTGTTTTCTGTCTTTCCGGGAGACCCTGGGAGGCGTTGTGCAACATGGCCGTCCTCTACCTTCTGCTCTCGCTTCTCGCCCCTCTACTAGTATCTGTTATATTCCTGCCTAAGACCCTGCGCTTCGTCGCCGAACTAGTGGGACATCACCTCCGCCGGTCGTCCCGCACGCGACGAGAGCTCCTGCTGGCCAGGGTTGCACATGAAACCAAGAGATATGAGAGCGAGCACAAGGAGAAGAGCAACGAGGACGATGATTGGGAGCAAATAACCTCTGCAGCTGTCGGAAGTGCAGTCAACGGCGGCAGGGCGGCCAGCGAGTGGAATGGCATCGTGGGCTTCTTCCACCCTTTCTGGTATGGCTTTAGTGGTACGGTAGAGGAGGCGTACATCGCTAATCCACAAGTGTAGCAATGCAGGAGGCGGCGGCGAAAGAGTCCTTTGGGCTGCTATTCGAGCCACTCAGAAGCGCTGGCCTGAAGCCGTTTGCGTAGTCTACACGGGAGACCACGACGTCGACAAGGTCGCTATACTCAAGCGCGTCAAGGAGCGTTTCAATATCCAGCTCCACCCCCCGACCGTCCACTTCCTCTACCTTACAACGCGCCACTGGGTACTCGCCAGCACATGGCCGCGATTCACCTTGCTGGGCCAGTCTCTCGGTTCCCTAGTACTCGCCTACGACGCTTTCAAACTACTCGTTCCAGACATCTTCATAGATACCATGGGCTATGCCTTCTCACTCGGCCTCTCCTCGTTCTGCTTCCCTACCGTACCCACAGGAGCCTACGTACACTATCCCACCATCTCCACAGATATGCTCGACTCGCTGCAGGTAGGAGGACAAGGCGTCAACGCAGGAGCGGGAGCAGGATACCGCGGCATGGCGAAGAAAAAGTACTGGGAGCTATTCGCGAAACTGTACTGCAGGGTTGGCAGCACAATTGATGTCGTCATGACGAACTCAACCTGGACGCAGAGCCATATCAAAACCCTCTGGGAACCATACCGAATCAAGCGCAGCAAGAGCGAGGATATCGACGTTGTATTCCCACCCGTCGCAGTGGAAGAAGTCACCGAGGCTGTCGAAGTTTCAGAAGCAAGCGAGAAGAACCGCGGTCCCTACCTCCTCTACATCGCACAATTCCGGCCTGAGAAGAATCACCAACTCATCCTGGAAGCCTTTGCCTCCTTCCTACACTCCAATCCCCATATTGCAACATACAACAACAAAGCCCCAAAGCTTATCCTGATCGGATCAGTGAGGAACTCACACGACGATGCGAAACGCGTATACAAACTGCGACTC